TTCAAGAACTTTTTCAATGCTCTACGTACATATTTATATGTATTCAAAAGATATTTATCTTTTATTTGTATTTTAGTTAACAAACGAATTTCGAGTAAGCGCTTTGTTTTTCTTTCTATTGTTGACCATGAGATTATCTTTATTGATATTCATAATAAATATATATATAGAGTTTAATACAAATATCCGAAAAATCAGCAAATGATGATAATGAATTACTTGATTTAAATAATATCCGAACTAAATGTCTTAATGAACATGAAAAACAAGTCTTCGCAACTCAAAATAAACTGGAAGAATTGGTAATATATTTTTTTTTTTGTAAACTTCATTTATTATCAGAACCAAAGGTGCAGAGTCTACGGCTCAAATGAAAAACTTCTCGCCGACGAAGAGAAATGTTTCGAGTATCATTTTTTAAAAATATATGTTACCGGCAAGATTGAATTTTAGGTAAAACTAAACCTAGATAGATTTTGCCATTAGTCATCCATATATGGTCAGTGTTCGGATTAGAAAACTAAAGAATGCTGAGTCTACTATAGAAAAGAGAATAATCGATAGTATTTGAAATGAAAATGTTTCTATACTTCCGACAATACTGAGTACTCCGGCCACACGAAATCTTTCTAAAAGTCGACAACTTGAAAAATTTGTGCAAGAGATTGACTTGAAATATATCTTTAAACAAGGGTCGCTAAAGAGAAAAAAAAATCTTCAATTAGTTATTAATCGATCGAATACGAAGTACTCTTTCAATATAAGATCCTTCGTACATATTCTACATTTCTACAAGCTAAGATAATAAGTTCAAAGGCCATCTCGATTTTTTTTCGAAAGTCCATAACAAAACTCGCTTATATTGCTAATTTTTGCATTAAAAAGCGACGTCTCCAGATAGAACTCTACAAGTTCTATTAAACACATTCATTTTAAGTTCAATTTGATTTAATATTCGTATCCATTTTTTAAAAATACTGCGTTACGAAATTTCACTAGTATTCGAATAATACTTTGCGTTTTTGTTCATAAACATTTACATATTTGGAATTAGTATTGATTTCTTAACAAAACGAAGTATTTAACTAATTAAAACTTCAACCTTTATTTTACTCGAAAACTTTTCGGTTCCACAAAGTTGAAAATTTTCTTTTCTTAGATCCTAGTGAAAAATATATTAATTTGGTTGCTTTTGACTTTTTTGCTTTCACTTTGATGCAAACTACGATTTTCGAAAAACGATGAAACTCTGTAACAAACACTATTTTTTAGTTTACTGTTCAATGCTGTTATGCTTATTAAAAATTAAACAACTTTTCTATAGAAATTTTATTTATGTCTCTTCATTTGGTAATAAAATGCTAAACTCTAAACTTCACTAAAAACAAATTCGATTTTTTGAATAGCTTAGTTTGAACTAGAGGAAAAATCAATGAAACTTTGATTGATAGTGAATCTAAATAATCTCTATCTTTAGTAAAAGTTCTAAAGAATTCGCTTTGCCATCAATATAAAATAAAAGTTACAGTGCAAAAATAACAACAAAATTCCGAAATATTTGAATATGTCAATATATTATTTTTAACTACACAGAATATTCATTTCCGTTATTCATATTCAAATGTATGTAAAAATGACTTCTTCTTCATCGACATATGTTATTTTTAAGCATTCAATTTCAAGTGACGACATGGTTTTACCACTGAAAATATATAAGATCAAAATTCTTGTATTGTTTTTGGATGAAATCTAACTCAATAAAACTTAACAACATAATATATTCATACTTTAAATATTACCTATGAGCCAGGTCAAATTTGAAAACAAATAAACATAAGATTAAATATTTTCATTTTTGATCGGTGTTTGCTAAGACAAACTCAATTTTAATTGAGTACACTTGGGAACTCGACAGTTTTTATTAGATTCAACTAGACTTTGACTAAAGTTAAATATAGCTTAATATAAATATATAATATTAGTTCTTTGTTCTCATTTAAAAAAATATAGTCAAGAAAGAAGCAAGTGTGCGACACATTTAAAATAACGTGATGTCAAAAACTAAATTAGTCTCATCAATCATTGAATACTGCTGAACGTCTTGTTACTTGGTCATTATAGAAACAATTTATCACAAATGAACAAAGGCTTACAAATGTTAGATGTTGTTCAATTTTCTTAGAAAAAAAACTGTCGACGAAATCTCTGCAGGATTAAAATGTGAAATATGATGTCGTTGCTGTTGCTGATTACAGAGAGATTGTTTTATTCTATCTTTTTTTGGGACACTTTTCTTTTACCATTATTTTACTTAATCATCTACAAATACAATGAGAACGTAGTTTATATATTATAACGAGATAGTATTGATATTCGGTTTGCGGATCCAAATTTTCACCCTTATACTTCAATATTCCTTTTAGGTCGTGTTTCACAATAGCACTAATTGTCTCAAATCACGGTGGAACCATGGAGAATGAGAGTACTAGATTGGATTGAGGATAGAAATTTCAAGCTGAGCATGAAAGTGAACAGGATAACAAGGTTTGCTAGCTCGTTATCTTTCCGTTGGCATTTGTATCATGCACTTTGTTCTGTGCACTAAGATAAACAAAACATAAGTTAAGCTAAACGGCAGCGCAAATTCACACAATGCTGTAATACTACCCACGTTTGGAGGACGCAACAAAGTAAAGCAAAACGTAATATAAGACAAACATGTCGAAGGAGAGATGTAATGAATGATAAAAAGAATTCAACCGAAAGCAGTTAGATTGTTTTCTGTTGAGAAATCAATCTTACAGTTTCTGGATGAACTTTGCATTTTGATTGTGGAGAAAGAAAAATTTTATTCGGTTATTTTTTCCTACGAGCGTGGGCACAAATGGGTAGATTCTGTAGATTCAATATCTAAACATTTCTATCTGCGAAAAGCTTTATTAATCATATGATAAATCGTAATACGAAACTATGTTTTCGTGATTAATTTCATCAACAAGTTGAACGAAAAAATTTCTATTGATTTTTCATATGTTTCCATTATCTTAAAAAAAATCATAGTAATTTCTAAGAAAATCTTTATGAATAAATTTAACTTGCAGATTGTTCATCTCATTGAATCTTTAACTGATATTACTAATACTTCTGATCATAAAAATACAAAATTACAAAATACAACTCTAATTCAGGTATTTTGAATTCTCTTGTTTTGTTTTTGTTATGATAAAATCTTTATTTGTCTGTAATATTTCATAGCATATTCATAATATATGTATTCAACATGGACATGAAATTCGACAATTATTAGAAACAAAATTACAATGTATATTTAGTAAGGTACGTGATGAATATGAACAACAATGTGGTCATTTAATTACAAATATTGAACGTGATATTAATCAAATGAATTTAATATTACAAGATATGAATAATAAATTTGATTCATCACCATTAATCACAAATGAGTCAATGTCACTTTTGATTAAACAATCACAGCGTATTGATGTCATGACTAAAAATCTAGAGTACGACTGGCAAATGATTACACAATCAGGTAATAAAAATCTTCAATAGGATTAAAATTTTAAAATACAATTGAATTCTTAGTCTTGTAAATAACAGTTACATCATAGTGTATTGACAAATTTGCTTAGATTCAATTATTTAAATCAATTTAATTGTTCGTATTCTTTTTTTTCTGTTCATATTTAGTTGATAAATTCGAATGTGAAACGATGTTACCATCACCGCCTATAACAATACCAAAAACTGATGCCGCAATTAAACTTGAACTTGCTATTAAAGAACAACAACAACAACACCAACCACCACGTTTAATGACAATTGAAAATAAAGAAAATATAACCGATGGAAATCTTCTTCCTGCTCCTATTCCTATATCTTCACGAACGGCTACAGTTAATGTTATACCATGTCGTCTTAAAAATGATGTAAGATTATCTAACATAGAAATCTCTTATTTCTCTATATATATTTTTGTTTTTATATTCTAGACTCCATTCTTTTGATCGGAACATATATTTCTATAATATTTCTTTTGTTACTTATATTTCTGAATGTTAAATTAAGTCAGATGATTCATAATCAAAATAAATAAAATTAGAATTACTATTTATGATTGTATAATATAAAAAAAAAGAAATGATCGTGCGTTGAAACAGTGACTCATAAGCAATGAAAGTCACATATTGCTGTGCAAATAAAGTCATCTATTAAATAGGAAAGAAAAAAAAACATGTCGGACTCTTTTTGATAAAATGATCGGTAAAGTTTGTTTCAAGTAAACGCACTTTAACCCTATCGTTATTAGGTGAGATATACATATGTTTATAATCGTTGAAGCATATTTTGTAATATCATTCTCTAATTAGAGCATTTTAGTAGTGGACTGTAAGATTACTTCGACAACAAAAACTTATGGCCAATACAAAGCTAAATCTTAGGTTTTATTTTCTCTCTCAATAATAAAATTGCCACCGTTTATGCTTACTGTTTTAATCAAACGTTGCTGTTAGCCGTGTTGGATATATAAAATGCTAGCGACATCTGTTCAGTTGAGTAGTGTTTACATTTGAAAAAAATATAATCGACTCTATTTTACTAATTAAAAGTAGATAGTAAGGTAAATTTAAAATTTTTATTTATCTTAAAATTCAATTCACCTATTATGAATAAATGAAAGACATAACCGAGACGTGTATGAAAACTATATGAGTCACTGTTGTCAATAGCCAACTATATTGTTTTGTTATTCATTCTCTACAAGAACGATAAGAGTAATATCAATTATCATAGTTTTGGTAGTCTGATATAAATAAAACATTTCGTTTTTTTTCTGATTTTTAATAACGATTAAGAATTATTTGTTTGTTATTTAAATGATAATAATTTCATTATTATTATTATCTTGAGATTACAGTTAATAAATGAGCACTCTAGTGCAGCAAAATAATTCGCCCCACTATCCTCAATCAAACACGATGAATAGTGGAGAAGGAGCAGCACGACAACAACGTCCAACACATAATCCATCAAAAAATTTAATACCAAATGAATTACAATGTTTATATGATATACTTGGATCACAATGTGTGGTAAAAAAAGCAAAAATAAAATTAAAAAAAATTTCTTTTTATGAATATTTTCATTAGACTTTATCAACAGCTGTTGCACAAGTTTTGCATGGTTATAATGGTACCTGGAGAAAACAAGCATGTGGCGTTTTTTGTTTTGTTAAAGATTATGCTAATCGAAGTTATTGTTTTCGATTATATGACCTTAAAGTAAATTTTTAAGTTCCTTATTTTTGTTTCTCATATGTGAAATTTTATTTTATTTAAGTCCAGACAATCAATTTATGAAGAGATAGTACCAGCTTCACTTCGTCTTGAAAAAGCCGTCGATGTTTTTTATACATTCGACGGATCGGTTAGTTCAATTCGTTTTTGGTGTTGTTTTGAATGATTATTTATTTATTTGAATTCATAGAATTGTAAAATTGGAATAAATTTTGTTGATCGTGATGAAGCACAAACATTTTCTCATCATTTTCATTCAAAACAAGAAGATCGTCAAAGTAAAAAAGGTTTTGGGGAAAAGTATTCTAACATTAAATTTAATAGTTTTGCTTTTTTTTTTCTAATCATATTATTCTTAATCAAACGACCAGGATAGAGACTGCGTAGACTATTACAAAGAGAAAAGAGTGCTCGTACTATAGAAACGAAGTGCATAAGTCTAAGAACAGCGATAGAAAATATTTCCTTGACGAGACAAGACTTAATTTCTCAGCTCATAAATTGAACAGTAGCTTTCGGACTTCTTCTATAAATTACGTTATATATCTTATCATCAAACGAAAGGAATTAGGTTGAACATATGCAACTGGCTAAGATGAGGAATGATTTTTTTCAAAATTATGGTTCTATCTTGATGCAGTTAAGACTTATTATACACTTTTAAATGAATTAGTGTCCTGCAACAGTACGACTTTCCGTGACTGGTGCTAGTCGATATCCGACCGATACTTTTATAGTCACAGGACGATTTTCAAATTTTTATTTCATATAAAAATTTCCATTATTTAATTTCTTCTATAAACATGAACAAAAAAGCGAGATCATCTCAAATCTCAGTAATTGCTGAGTCCGATTCCGGTATGTGGTCATACTTGGAAACCCAACCGTTGTTTTTTTCATGCCTGGCACCCGAAATTTGTCCTGGTCGTAGGACACTAGAATGTATAAATCCCAATAGTCTGAAAACTGCATCCACTCTTCATGAACCTTATTCTCCTAAACTATTTTGTTTGATGTAAGCAGAAAACCTTGACATATATCCTAGCAAATAAAAGAATTAGAAATATTGTCGGTATTGCATTGAAACAATGAGAACGAGAAAGTTTTTCATTGAAGTATTTATTGAGACTTTTCTTTGTCTAGCTTAAGCCTTTTTCCTGAATGTGTGATTTTAATTTACAGATGAATTCTTTACTCTTATTATTGTCTATCATTCTGTAGATGACGATGATCATTTCTATCCCATGGTGAGAAAGAGAGCACTTAACATTTATATCTTGTTTTATGCATTCTATAGAAAATTTTTATTCTTACAGCAAAATTAGTTTTTTTATATTCGACAATTAACTTCACAAATTGTGAAAAAAAAAATTTTCTTTTCAAGAAATTTTTAATTAAACTGTCTTATTATTTAATAGTTCATGAGTTCTTAAGCTTTGATATTTATACATAACATTCGAATCGAACAAAAAATAGATCGTTCGCTATGCTGGTGTTAGTGGCTTCATACTTAAATGTTCGAGTATCCGCTTGAATAATGTACAGATCATATCTAACACTTGTTAAAACTTTTTTCGAAAAATATTGAAATATATTTTTTTTAATTTCATAGAAAAGAAAAAACCTACTGCACCAACAAAAGTACCACCCCCAATTGTTAGTCCACCATCGACTTCTTCAACTGTGTCCTCTATAATTAATGGAATGAAACCAACACCAAGCGCTGTTGCACCATCATCATCACCCGTAGCAGCAACAACCACTGTCAATACTCCAAAAAGTAAACAAATCAAAAAATAAAATTTTTGGTTTTTATTAGTTAATTTCATATGCTAATATTGTTCTTTGTCGATATAGAACAAAATTCAGTGAAAAGTTCAGGTTTTTTAACAATCGGTCGAAATAAAAAGAAACCTGTTCGTCCCGATATATCAGCACCCATTCAATCATCGTATGTTAAATAAAATTATTTTTAAAATAGCTAATAAATTTTTCTTCTTAGATTGGTTCATGTTAGTCATATCGGTACCAATGAAGTGTGTTGAACTGTTTTTTTATTCATTTTCAATCGATTCTAATTGATTTATTTTCATTTAATTCTATAGAGTTTTTTTAATGATGATGTAACAAAAAAAATGTTTGAACAAGTATTAGCTAACTTGCATATATCACCCGAAGACAAAATTTATGTACGAGAACTTGTCAATACAGATGGTGGTCTACAAAAACTTTTAGAAAGTAAATATGATTTATATTCATTTGTTCTTAGAAAATTAATATTGATTATTTAAGAACCATCAACATCTGTGTATAATGTTAATAATCAAGGGCAACAACAAATGTCAGCAGCTCCACCAGAAATTCCTCCACGTGGTCATCAAACTATAGGTCGAAATAATGGTGGTCGTGCACCACATCAAGATATATCGGCTCCATCACCAGCTTATAATCAATCGAGTGTAAGTCGTTCTCAACCATTTCAAGGAATATTTAATCCACCTACTGGTCTTAATCAACAACCACCTCCTACTATTCCACCAAGATCAGTTGTTCGTGCATCTGATAGTACATATCCAGCAACACAAGCTCCATCAACTCCACCACCTCCACCTCCACCACCACCGCCACCGTTTCAAGGAGGATCGTAAGTGTATTACATCTTCGAATAAAAATAAAGACTTTGGTTTTCTAGTACTACCGATTCACATCGAGCACACGCTCCTCCTGCACCCCCACCTCCGCCACCACCACCGCCAATGCCAGCTAATTTAATGAATCAAAATCAAAGTTCGGGTGGTCCCCCACCACCACCACCACCGCCTCCTCCTCCAATGAATTCAAGTCCTTCATCAGGATCAGCAACAAATTCATCTGGTGAGCAAAGTGGAGGTGCAGCACGTGACAATTTACTTGATGATATTCGTAAATTTGGTACAAATAGATTAAAAGTATATGATTTATTGTTTTGTTTTTGCGTTTATCATTATTATTTTTATGAATTTTAGCAACGATCAGAACGACCACCATTACGAGAAATTTCACCCGCAGGTGGTGATAAAAGTCCAGCGGCACAAGATACAATGGCAATGAATATTCTTAAAATTCTTGCAGAACGACGAGAAAAACTTAGTAAATTAGTTCTTTATTTATGGATTATAAATATATATATATATATGTTTGCTTTTAGTTGGACCAGAAGCTCAAGATAATGATAATGATTCAAGCGACGGTGAATGGTCAAACTAATCAAAATTTGTTTTTCTTCTTTTTTTTTTCTATACTAATCGAATCATTCCAACAGAATCTAATCATTATTCGTCCTTTTTTTCCTTATCAAAATACCTCGATAATCTGTTTTTTTTCTCTTTCTTCTCTTAACTACGATTATATGTTTTTCTTTTACCTATGCAAATCGATTAGACAATAAAACTCTAAAGTAGTAGTTCTTGTATTCATACTATTTTTCATCCATTACTTATTATTATATGCTTGTATATGTACATTCACACTTATGCTTGTTTATTCCTTTTTTCTGCTTTTCACGCGATTCGAACTCTTGTTTTTTCTTTCGTTCTTATTCTTCGTTACTTGTCACACTCACACACTTATATACATGCGCGGTTTGTCTTTGTTTTTATGATGGTGCAAAAAATAAAGAACAGTGAATCCTTATTTTAATGTCTTTCTTTGTTTTTATTCTTGTTTTAAAAATTTTCGTTGACACTAATTAGATTAGTGTAGATATTGATTCAGTGAAGCAGTTTTTTCTTTGTTGTTTAATGAATAATAACATTCAATAATTATCGATCATTTGATTTTTTTTTTCTTTTGAAAACTAATGAGGTTGTATAATGTCGATGATGACAATTAATAGAACACGTAAAAACCTTCATTTCATTCTTCGCAGACACTAGAGTAGATTATTGGGATTTCAGAATTTTGCCAATTCGACTATAAATTAGATATGAATTTTAAAAACTTCTATTGACTACAGTGATGAGTGTAAGTTATGATATCTATATTCTAACAATATTAACTTCAGCCCTCACATATATCCTATATTAAAATTCTTTCGTAATAGCTTGCGAAAGTTCACTCTAATTTTGTCAACATATCCCCTAGAATCCGTCAATTGATGAAATTCTGATCATCCAGATTATAGTATTGTTTTAGGCATTTTTTAAGTTTTGGTTTTGACAGAAAAATCTGAACTAGAATTATGTGTATACATCATAATGCTACACAATGATTCTCTAAACTTCATCATACATGTGAAGACGTCGCATGATTAAGTACTCAAGTCGATGAATACGAAGCCGTATACGACTCTATTCTGCCGTATCACAGGATTGCGTATTTCGATTGTATATGTCTGTGATTGTATATAGCTTCTGTATACAAATGCAGTAAGCAAGCATTTTTTTTCCTAAATGGTCCTTTGCGACCGTGTCTGTTTGATCTATGTAGTAGAGTTCTGATGAAGAATTGTATGTTATCTTATTATATGATAGATTAAAGCATCAATTAAAATAGAAAGAAAACGAAGTTAGAGTAAGGCTAATATTGCGCAACCAAGATTGAAATACTTTACATAGATATTTTGGTTCGAAAGTAATCTTGCATAGTAGCAAAGTCAATCAGTACGTATCATTGTCAATTATCGTATCGTTACCGTAAATGACCATTTTTATATTGTCTGGTGTTGTTATCACATATGTAGTATTACTGACTGTATATGATACCGTATTCTCACTGTAAAAAAATGTCAATATGTCTTAATATTGCGTAGCCTATCATACATACGGTCGTATTACTAAGCCTCTATCTACAGTGAAATACGGCTCTGTTAACGTGTTGTATTTCACTCTAAAGGATCGTATTCTTTGAACACGATAGTGATAATTTTAAGCAAACAGATTATAATTAGAAGAGAAAAAAAATCATACTTGATAATTTCGGGTTTTATGATGAATGAGTTGGCTTTATGAAAATCTTTGGAAGGTTTTAGTTATTAATGTAATATTTATGTTAATAATATTATGATGAAATAATAGAAAATAATCGCAATTTACAACAGAATAGTCTTAAATATAGTTTTTGATGAAGCAGTAAAATAATTACTTGTAAGATGTTTTTAGAATTTATCGAGTTAAAATGTGTTCTAAACTATTCAGCTTTCAGCTGAGTAGATTATACATAACTATAGTGAAAATATTTATTGTGTTTTTTTTTTACACTATTGATCTTATTACAATTATAAAATTTAATAAACAAAGTCAGTTTAATTCTATGCGATATCATATATGTTTGCGCTTTTGTAAATGATTGTTTTTTTATCATATTCGTGTTAAAGTATTTTTAATAATTTTCTCATTGTCTCACTAATAATAAGTCCATCAAGTTTTCGATCTAAACAATCGAAATCACATTTTTCTAATGTATCTTTTACTAAATCTTGTTCATCAACACCAGTAGGAGGTGCTTTTGAATCGTATAAAATTCGTTCACATAATGCTAATATTCCAGCAAATGTATCAAATGTAAATTGATGTTGTTCATTTCCAATATTTATTAATTGACATAACTTATCGTATTGTGAGCTTGTAAACTTTTCTTTATGTATATCTGTAATTGATGTATATAAATTATTTGATTCAAAACGATATTGATTATTACGATATTTATCAAAGACACGTTTAAATTGATAATTTCGACGTGATGACAAACGACAATATTTACCAAGATAATCAAGTGGTGTTAAAGTTTCAAGTAATTTTAAATCATATGGTAGTTCAAAACGGCAACCCTGAATAAAATTAATTTAAATCGAAATAATTTTACTTCAAATATCAATACGAACTTGTTGTGATATAGGTAGTTGACCAATCGATAAACCAGTTGCACTTTGTCGAAATTTTTCTAATAAATCAAGTGTTTCTTGATTTTCAGGAATTGTTTTTGTTTCATCATCATGTTGATTTTCTTTTCCTAAACGAGATTTTGATTTTTTCATTGCACTACGACTATTACCCATAACTCCTAATTCAAATGCGATCATGTCACTCATTGATTCAGTATCAAAGGCACCTTTTTTTATACGTTTACGATTATCTACGACTTCTAATTCAGGTTTTTTTTCTGTTATAGGTTGTTTATTTTCTATTGTTGTAAGAGGATCAATAATTTTATCTTTATTATTATTGATTATTGTTTGTTCTTTCAATGGTTCTGTTCGTTCAATAGTTGGTGGTGGTGTTTTTGGTGTTGGTGGTGGTGGCGGTGTTTTTGCTGCCATTTGTGTATCAATATCATTAAGATATTGTTTTGTTTCTGAACTACCTTCGTTTGAATTGATTGATGAACGATGTATTGCAGAAGAAATTCCTTTTATTGGTAAATTATTAGTATTTGTTGGTAATTGAAGTCGTTCTATATCTGAAGAATGGTTTAAATCAATAGTATTACTTCCATAATTTTGAACAATCATTGCTGTTTTAAGTAGATCATTGTCAGTAGTTTTAGTTGTTACTAGTTCTGTTTTCTTTGCAGATGTTAAATCAGTAGTAACTTGCTTTTTCTTAGCTGTTTTTGGTCGTTTTATATTTATTCTATTATCACTATTACTTATTTGACTTGTTGATTGTTGAGAGGAACGACGTTTTTCATTGATTATTGACAATTTACTACTGAGATCATTATCGTCTAGTATAAAAATATATAAAGAAAAAAAAGTAATTGTTTTTTTATTTTTTTTTACCTTTTGCTAATGTCAAACCATCTCGTAATGCATCATTAAAACCTATTTGTGGTGTTGATGAAGGTGTATTTGTATTACGTGATGATACATTTGGTCGAACATGTTGTAAATCTGGTGTTTTAGATTTTGTAGTCTGTTTTTTATTTCGATTTATTTTAGGATTAGATTCAGCTAATATTGATTGTATTTGTTCGTCTTCGTCCTCATGTTTTCTTTCTTGAATTTCTTCCATTCCATCATTGTATGTTTTTATTTGAAGTTTATTTGATGATCGATCACCATATTTTTGTAAATAACTTTCTGTAAACGAAAGAAATGGTTGGCTTTGATTTGTAAAAGTTGATGACTGAAATGCGTCATGAAATGATTGTGCTACATGATGAATACTTGTATTGTTTCGATATTTTGATGTTATTTGTGGTCGATGAGTTTTTTGGTAACGTTGAAATGGTATTATTGGTGATTGATCATGTGTTGTAGGTGAGATATGTGAAAGTTGATGAATATGAAATTTATCAAATGATGGTGCAGCTGTATGTGGTCGCTTCTGTTGTTCTTGAATATTTCGATTTGTTATGGAATTTCCATTAATAACTTTAACAAAACATTGTTCATATGAATGAAATGATTGATCTATATATTGATCTTGTTTTGTTGATATACGTTGGTCAACATTTTGTAATGCACGAAGATTTTCTTGACGTAAAATAAAATCTTGTCGTTTTTTTAGTGTTTCAAATGCTGTATAACTTCGAACATATGATTGTCGATGTCGATGTAAATCATGTAATAATAATTGGCCAAAACCTTCTTGATCTTTATCAGATAATGGTAACGTTGATGTTTGTGGTAAAAGCATAAGTGGTGTATCATTAAAGCCATCGGGTGATGAAAAATTTTGTGTAATTATTGGGATTTTTGTCATTTTATTGATTAATTTTAAATAAAAAAAAAAGAAACGAAACGAAACGATTTGCTCAAATAGTAGCTGTAGTGATGATGTATGACTTCACAACAACTGTCAATTTAATGTAGACTGAAGTAGTCAAACAATTATTAACAAACAAAACAACACTTTCAATTTTTTTTTCTCTCTCTCTCTCTCTCTCTTCCGATTTTTTTTCCTATCAAACATTATGCAGCAGCATCTCCTTTAAAATTTTGCACGACGAACAATAATAACAAAAAAAAAACAAATTGCTTGAAATAGAGAAAAAAAAAGAACGTTTTGCTTTCTTGGTAAACGTTGTTCAGTTTACTTTCGAATAACGTTGACATTTTACCAAAATATATGTCTTTTACTATTTCAGTACGTTTCAAATGTTTTATTTATTTTTTGCTTCATCTATATTTTAGATGACACAAGACAATGTATTAATATCATCAAATCAACAAGATAATCTGGAAAATGATCAAACATTACAATATTTTACTGCTATTCGACTTCAAGAACCTGAGTATGAAAATTAAAACTCTTTTAAGAGTTTTCGTTCGTCGTCAATATGACTATTATATAAACATTAAACAATCTAACAGATTATTTTTTTGCTGTAGAATCAGTCCTAATATTACAGTAATACTGAATAAAAAACAAAGGCTAAGATCAGTAGAGTCACATCAAATTTATTAACTATCAAAGCTAAAATAAATCGTGTTGACTTCGTTTGAATCGATCTATATTCATATTCATATTGAACCTTCAACGTATTGCTCAGATAAAAAGTAATGACATTTACAGAATATAAATAAAGTTCAATAAATATTTGAGGTCGTAACCATAGTTACTTTTCTATAATTTGTATGTGAAATGTTATTTCAAGCAGCACTCAACTTTATGATTGAGAATGATTGCCATCGGTTCAGTTATGTTAAATAAGATCAATATAAAGAAATATGAAAAAATAGATCAATTGTTAGTCCTTGGTGACTTTTAGATTTGTTGTATATTGTTGAGATCAACTTTTTCGAATTGTCAGGTATTCCGTTATTTGTTCTTGTTTCTCAGCGTAAATTAGTCGTAATTCGATGATTTACATGTTTTCTAAGAACTGCTATTAGCTAGAAATTTTACAAAAATGAACTCGATATGAAAAGAGAACAGTAGTCAATATATCAATATTATCTTAATCATTCGTAAAAACTATCTATCAATGAAATTAGAAGATCATGATCATCGGTCAGAGTCCAAGACATTAAAAGTAGGAGCGTTCCGAAGTCGTCAGGATTGGGAGGGAATTGATGGTTTATAAAGAATCGGTGAGCAAAACAGAATGAATTGAATGTTGAAACTTCGTTGGAGACAAACGAAAATTTCTCACGATTGAGAGCATGAAATGACTAGAGTTCGACGGTTCCAAAAGAACTCGAACTGGAATCGTTTAGTCCTCAGATGAACAAAAAATAATTTTTAAATCTATGTCAAGAAACGTTCATTTCTTCGTTCTTGAGGTAAAAAGAGTTCCGTATATATATGTGTATAATATTGTTTTGTTCAAGTATTGAAATATGTGGTATCTTTAATCGTAACAATTCACTAGTAAAAATTTTGTCAAAATAGATTTAAAGTTTTCGTATCTATCTGATAATTTAGCAGTATCGGTTCCACGTGATATTTTAGAAACAAAATCGGAATTGCCGAACTATGAGAGTGATCCCCTGACTTCTCCTCCCGCTCAGGATACCTCTGACTAAAACTCTTCATTAATTACAAGTAAATCTAAAATAGCTATATAAATTTTCAATTAATTTCTTTTTGTCTTTTCTTAATAGAACATCAGTAGCCATAACAGCTATTCGTACATTAATCGATGTTATAAATCGTTCATCAGCTGGTACAATGAGTGAATTATCACGTGAACTTAAATCAGCTGTACAATTATTAACAACACAAACTGATTCTTCAATGCCAAGTGTTAAATCAGGTTGTGAATTATTTTTACGTTTTATAACATTAGCGAAATTTGATACATTTGCTATTGATGAATGTCGTCAAAAATTAATTGAACGTGGTCAAGTCTTTTTAGAACGCACATTATCATCAAGACAACGTATTGCTGAATATAGTCAAGAATTTATTGTTGATGGCAGTATTATATTAACACATTCATATTCACGTGTTGTTCTTGCTTTACTTGCATATGCATCAAAATTTGCACGTTTTAAAGTATTTGTTACTGAATCTGAACCAGATAAAAGTGGTTTAAAAATGCGAAATGAATTAGAAGCTATTGGTATACCATCTCTATGTATATTAGATGCAAGTGTTGCATATGTTATGGAAAAAATTACATTTGTTTTAATGGGTGCTGAAGCTGTTGTTGAAAGTGGTGGAGTTATTAATAAAATTGGTACATTTAATATAGCTATAGCAGCACATGAAATGAATAAACCATTTTATGCTGCATCAGAATCATTTAAATTTGTTCGTTATTATCCATTAAATAATCGTGATTTACCTGATCATTTTAAATATAAAGCGTCGACAATAGCACGTTTAAGTGAAAAAAATCTTGAAATGGAACATCCACTTGTTGATTATACACCACCGGCTTATATTACATTATTATTTACTGATATTGGAACATTAACACCATCAGCAGTTAGTGATGAATTAATTAAACTTTATATTTAATAGATATAAAAACTCAAGGTAGTCATTGATTAATCTGATTTTGTAGGGATAAGGGTTTTACTATTCCATATTTCTTCTTTTTTTTTTGTAATTAAAAGTAAACAACTATGTTGAAAAATCGATTTATATAATGTTTGATGTTTAAGCCTTATAAGTCTTCGAAATAGTCACATACATTTAAATCATCAAACAGATTGTATAATTCGATATTTTTTGACGTAAAAATTTTCTCTCACATCTATGACCGTTTATTCCAGTTTGTTTGTTTTTTGTTCTTAAAGTAATTTGTCTTTTAAAAAGTTATTGTGTCTCATGTAACAACAAGAAAAAAACAAGAAATATTTATCTATATATATGTAGACATATATATAACATATCTACAAAATTCTTTATTTTAATCACATAAGAATTATGAAGAGATAGAAAGAAAAAAAAAACCAAACAAACATATCAAAACTCTGACAAAATCTTTTCTAATTTATCATAAATCAAATTTCCTCGATCAACAAGATTATTTAAACGTTGAAGAACATGTTTAATTGATTGTTGTTTTGTTTTTGATACATTGTCTAATGGTTGATGATTTTCATCAACGAATAAATTAGATGAGTCATTAAGAATTGAATGAATATTTTCTTGTTGTTGATTAACAACATTTGATAATGAACGAACAATATCATCTAATTTTCTATTATCAGAACTATTTGTTAAGAAATTATTATTTCTAATTAATATTTGTTTTTGTTTATTGTTCGAATCTTTATCTAAACTATCAGATTTTGATATAGCACGATCAAGTTCATATAAAGCTAAACAATATTTATTTTATTTGATATTTATTTAATTATAATTATTTCTACCTTGTTGAATATTTGTACGTACTGATAATAAATCAGTTTTTAAATTTGTAGAAGATTGTGAATTAGAAATATTCATTGATTCATTATGTTCGTTATTTGTTAATGGTAATGTTTGTGTTTCTTGATGAATTGAATTATTTTCTAATAGTTGAATTTCTTGTACATCATCATTAGTTATTACATATTGATTTTCATTTGTTTCATCCGTATGATTTTCCGTTATTGAATTATTCGATTCTTGCTGATCATTATCATCAACATCGCCCGATTCAAAATCGAGCTGTGCCATTGATATTGGTTCATCTATTTGTAGTACATTACGAGTTGATGAACGAGAAGATTTCTTAAAACGACTTGATCTTGAACTTTTTCGTAAACTTTCCCTAATAAGATTTTAAAAAAAGAAAATTTTTTTCTTTTGTTTTTTCTTTTCTTTATTATTTGTAATATTTAAAGATTTAAGTTTATGAATTTATTTCTTTTCAATTGTATATTAATTCGATTGATAAGTAAAATCGAAAGTCACTTTACCTTTTCCTTCGAAAATAATTATAGACACGATGAGGAGCTTGACGTGCATCTAAAGATTTATATATGTGTTTGATTGATGCTGGTATATTTGATTCTCGTAAAATATGTTCAACGTATTTTTTATAATCGCTTGCTAAAAGAAATAAAAATCAAGAAAATATTGAACTAATTGAATAGATAAATGAATAACTAACCATAAAGTTCATGTAGTTCAACTAATATTTCTTTTTCTTGATTTGAAACTGGAATTATTTTATTTGTTTTATTACTTTTCGTTGCACTCGCCATTCGAAATTTACACCTGTGTCAGATAAATAAGAGTACGATGATACGCGTACCAACAATTTATGTATATGTTTATATGTAAGTTCGCTCTGTTAATAAGAAATGAAAGAGAAGAAAAATGAATTATAACGACAGCTGACGAGTTGTGCATTTATATATCGTCTTCTTTTCCTCTATCTCGGCAGTGTTAGCGAAGATATCTAGCGCAAATCGATCACATATGTTCGTTCGTAATTTATCTATTACTTGCTTTTATTTGTAATACAGTAAAAGGCGAATTCATATATATTCATGATTTGTATGAGAGTGCTAATAAGCTTTATCCTACTGATTCATATCTACTGGCAAATATCATCAAGTGTGAAAAAGAAATATTAACATTCATGTGAATATTACCTTTGAAATAAAGATAATCGTATTTTTTCAATTGTTTCTCGACCAGTATTTAAATGGTCGAATGAATCATACATTAAGTTTCTTCGATAATAACATTTATCATGTTTCATTGTATTATTTTGTCATTCGTAAATGCATAGTTAATGACTAATATATTATAATGTATGCGTAGAGATTGATTGGAGAGACTGATCTTAATTATTGATATTGTAACATATAATGTGCAGCTTATTCCACAAATCAATCTATGTTTGTTCGATGTGAAAATTCTGCTTTATTGAAATACATTTTTTTTTATGTGTGTGTAAGTTTTGTTTCGTTGAATAGCTTCAGTCTATTTACTGATGATTGATGTTTTTAAATGAATTTGTATGTGAACTGATTTCTCATAAGACAGTACTAAGAAAATATTTAGAAATATTTATAAAGTTACACTGGATCTTTTTCTTTGGTATGGTATTAATAAAAAAACAACCGAATAAATGAATTTTGACGTAAAACTTTGTCCATAGACAGTTCTTGGAGTCATGATAATCTGATAAAAGTTGCAGCCAAAAAGAATGGTCTCTTCTCAAGATATCAAATATACATTAACCTAGATTTTTCAGAATATCATGATTGTTTTATAGATTTAATATCTCAAAAAGAGATCATTCTTTCTCGCTGAAATTTTTATGAGATTCAAATGAACCCAAGAATTGTCTATGGACAAGATTTAACTCAAAATTCGTTTGTTCGATTTTTGTTAATACATACGGTGCCAAAAATAAAAATCCAGTGTAACTGCCATATCTCCAAAATAGCAGTGCATGGAAAAGAATTTTTTTTGATTTATTCCAGTTTCAAGAGGACCTACATAATGATTGGAGTCTCAACTCAAACGCGAGAGAGATCATCTCCGGTGATTCTCTCGTGAGTGAACTTTGCATTAAGATTTTGTCAAATTGATGCTGTCGAAAATTGATAACGGTGTGAAAAATCTCTAGATTAATTATTGTAGAAAAAGTTAATTATGTTTATTAAAATGAACCATACTCAAGTGTTTAATCTACTGCACAAACTTGCTCAAGCCGTTGAACAAATAATCACTCATATGGTTTTAATAAGAGATATTTCATGATAATTCCATATGTTACTGTTTGGGGGTATTGTGAAAGCTTATGAAATAGACATAATAGTTGATCCTGACTAATTTTTATGAGTATCATTGACTGTTTTCGGAACATTTTTGTAGATTTTATTCAGATTAGCTATGATTTTGTTATTTTTATTCTCTATATTTGTTGGTAATGTACAAACATTTTTACATTTTAATAATAATACATATATCGAACAATTATCATCAAATTATTTTTATTCATTTATTCAGCCAAAACCTATTCCTACACCTTATTTAATTAGTATCAATGATGAATTAATGAATGATCTTTCGATATCAATGTTTAATCGACAAGAAATGGCTGAATTATTAAGTGGTAATAAAATTCTATCTGGTTCTCGACCAGTAGCAATGGTTTATGCTGGCCATCAATTTGGTTATTTTACTTCACAATTAGGTGATGGTCGAGCTATTCTACTTGGTCAATTAAATCAATGGGCATTTCATGCTAAAGGTACTGGACCAACACAATATTCTCGTGGTGGTGATGGTCGATCAGTATTACGTTCATCAATACGAGAATATCTTGCATCTGAAGCAATGTTTCATTTAGGTATTGAAACAACACGTGCATTAAGTCTTGTTGGTTCTGTTCTTTTATCAGTCTATCGTGAAACAATTGAAACAGCTGCTATTGTTGTACGTATTGCACCAATCGTTGCATTTATACGTATGGGTACATTTGAATTATTTTCAACTCGTCATCAATTTGAACAAGTTCGACAATTAGCTGATTTTGTTATTAACAATATGTATGATAAACCATTATCGAATAAAAATCGTTATAGTTTATTATTAATTGATATTGCACATCGAACAGCAAAACTTGTTGCCCATTGGCAAGCATTTGGTTTTACACATGGTGTATTAAATACTGATAATATGAATGTAATTGGATCGACAATTGACTATGGACCATTTGGTTTTGTTGAAACTAAACTTCAAGGTTATGTACCAAATCATTCAGATGATGAAGGTCGATATGCATTTGATCGACAACCATCCATAGCTGCATGGAATCTTGCTAAATTACGTTTAACATTTGATTCATTAATTGAATCAAAATATCCAATAAATGAACAATATGAATTTTGGTTATATTTTAATCGTACATATGATAATTTAATGCGTAAAAAACTTGGTTTAACATTTTATCTTCAATCAGATAAATGGCTTTATGAAGAAATTCTTCATTTATTAGATTTATATCATATTGATTATACGAAATTTTGGAGACAACTTGCTGATGATATTATTCCTAATGAAATACAAAATGAACATTGGTATTATGTATATAAACAAAGATTAGCATTAGAAGGTAGTTATGCTAATAAAATTCGTCGTGAACAAATGAATCGTATTAATCCAAAATATATTTTAAGAAATTATATGGCTCAAATAGCAATTGAAAAAGCACAACAAGGTGATTTTAATGAAATCGAACGACTTCTTCATTTACTTCGACATCCATATGATGAACAATCTGACATGAATGATTATGCAAAAGTGTCTCCTGAATGGGCAAAAAAAATTATTATTTCATGTTCATCTTAATCATGTCACATTTTATTTTTATATAATAATTTATTTATGTTATTTGTCTTCGTTAACCTAGCTAAATGAATTTCGTTAAATAAATAAAAATGTTTTTTTTTTAAATTGAAAAGCTTTTTTGATTTGAAATGAAAGAACATTAAAAGATAAAAGAAGGATTAAATAATCGTTAATTTTAGATTTTTTACGAATGCTATCTTAATTATTGTAACAAAATTAACATTGAACAAAAAAGTTAATTTTATTAATGAAGAATACTACTCGTATTTGACGAAGTATCCAATGAATGCTTGAACTGAAACATTTATATTTAATAGATGATAATATGTTTGTGAAACGACAGTTGTATTAGTAGTCAATAGAATATATTTTATTCATTAGAAAATTTCTAATAAATTATAAATATTTCTTTTACTGCTATTTTTGTAAACTTTGCTCTTTGCTTATTCATAGAATATGCTGTATCAGCGACATGACAGACACATTATTACCATAGCTATAACTTAAGATACAAAACAGCAACAATATCCGAAACATTCACAATAAACTATTCTCGTGAGAAATTTGTCTTTATCCACAGTGTCAAGTCGAAATTCGAAAATCAATTTTTCGGTCACTACGACATTCATCTTGAAAAATAGAATGAAAGTGCAGTATATCCATAGTAATCAGCGAAGGACACGAAGTCTTTTTAGAGTATTTCTAGCTCGTTTAAACCTACATAATGCACATAGACTCCACTTAAAAGTGACTTACCAGTTGAAAAGTTTCCTTCGTAAGTTTTTTTTCATTCATTTTTTAGGAATATTAATAATTTATGCAAATTTCTACCAATTCACAATCACATACAAGTTACCTTCACTAACACTTACTTCATACGAATTTTAGAATAATGATCTCATCGCCAAAGACTGTTCAATCATATGATGCTGGTAACCTATTTTCTGACACGAATAAATACTTTCTCGGAAAGGACTTTTCTTATGCAAGTTTTTTTTTCTCAAAAGATGTGAAATCACCACAACAATATTTAAAAATATGTACTAAGACTCCTTACAATTAAATTAACAAGTCTATATCACTCAACTTGTATTGATCTAACATCTACAAAAGAATGCAACCTATTGATTGACATACTATTGAAAATCACTTCTTCAATGTATTTCTAAATTGTAAATGCCATAAAACATGCTAAACAATTTCAAACTAAAAGAATCGACTCTCTCTCTCGAATGAAAAAAGTGCCTTTTTCTGATTCATTTTTTCATCACCTAATACATTATGTTTTAAAAAAAATATACCACAAGATGCAGCACGAAAAGCTCTATAATCTACAAAGGACAGCTTATTGTATAATTGCACTTTTTGTTTTCAAAATATAGAAATTTCTTAGCCATTAATTTTTGATACTTCAAAAAAAAAAGCTTTTGCTACATACTGAATTTGTTTTTTCTTATTTTATGTTTTTACCACGTGATATGCTTTACTAAAAAGAAAACAAAATGCAGCGTGAAAAGCTCCACAATTTACAAAGAACAGCTTATTGTATAGTTATATTTTTTTCTCAAAATAGACAAAATTCTGTATGGCTAATCTTTGGAGCTGCGAACAAGATCATTTTTTCGTACACGATCAATTTATTTTCTTATTGTTTTGGTCAATGAGTTGTATCGAAAGTCATACTCGATGGTCGAAAAAATAGAATAAAGTTAAAAAACATGATTCATTAAATGATAAGATAAGAAAAGGAATTCACCGTGTACCAAAAAATTACTTTTTTGAAGTGTAAAAGATTAAATGGATCAGAATTTTGTTCATTTTGAAAACAAAAAGTGCAATTATAAAAGAAGTTGTCCTTTGTAGATTGTAGAGCTTTTTACGCTGTATCTTGTGGCATATTTTTTTTAATACAGTATATAGGTGATGAAAAAATGAATTGGAAAAAAGGTACTTTTTTTTGTTCGTGAAAGACTACATATTAGAAAACAGTGTGAAAATGTCCACTAGCATGTGAAAAAAAAATTTAATAAGAATTCAATAACATGCATTACATATTTGGTAACATTGAAAACCAAACCTGATCCATTTGTCAATATTTCGATGTCTTTTGCCTTAAATACATCTACAAATGTGAAGAAGTTAGCATTTTCAACTAAAAACTTGTTTTAACATATTCAGAACATTGACGGTTCTTAAACTGAATATTTATGAGATTCTATAAGTTAAATATGCTTTTCAATCTGAAGCATTTTAATACTATCATATTTCTATAGTCAAGGACTCTAAAATGTGTAGACAAACGATTCCAAACTTAATGAAGAGACAAATAACTTTTTTAAAACTTTAGTACACCTCTTCGCACATTTTGCTAATTTTTAGTTGGTTCTTTTAATATGAAATTGTTTACCATATTTCATAATATTTGTGAGCTAAAAATACGCATAATATACTTTTCAGTATGAATAGATATTTCTAGGTATGATTCAATAAATTTCACTTGTTTCAAGAAAAAAAAAGTTTGTTAAGAAAAGTCGTTTCAGAGAACGTATTTATTCCTGTCAGCAAGTAAACTATAGGCATCTATGAGTACTTTTGTTCATGATGGTGATGACTAAATACTTTTTGAATAATGATATCATTTGTCTAAGACTCATATGATGTGGCTGTTTGTAATATTTATATAAATAACTAATATCCAACTTCAAAAATAAAATGAATCAAATAGTACATTCAGGCTTCTGCGATTTGTAATGTTGTTTTTTTGAATTGTATTTCATTGAAGCTCTATAGTCTACAACTTACCATTATTTCGTCAAATTTATTAATGAAATTGTAGAGATTCTGTAGATTTTAATATAGATTATAGAACATGACTTTATGGAATTGAAAGGTTACACCATTAGTAAATTGTCTAATTCACCTTTAAAAATCATTGTTTTTCTAGAATAAAGAATGCGTAATAGATATTGCAATTAATTCTGTCTTATGGTGCTTTATATAGATATGTTATAAACCACGTAACGTTTGATAAGAATAAAAACGGTGCAAATAAAAAAAAAAAACATCGACAAAAATATGCAGACATTGTCAACATCGGTTGTTTCTCTTCATAGTTATGTTGGATCTCATCATAGTGAGAAGCAATCAACGAAAAAATCTGATACAAAACCTTCTATTATTTATTTTTTTGCATTACTTTATACATTTTTATCAATGGGATTAGGTACTGGCCTTATTGGACCAACATTACTGAAATTTGGTGAACAAACAAAATCACCATTAGATCGTGTTGTTTATATATTATTTGCACGTTCATTTGGTTTTTTATCTGGTACTTTAATTGGTGGAATTCTTATTGATCGTTTTCGATTATTTAGTCAAACATTTTTAACATTTACAATATTGATTATGTGTATAGCAACACTAATTATTCCATTTATATATAATATTATACCAATGATTATTGTTCATTTAATGTGGAGTTTTACAGCTGGTATAGTTGATAATTTAGCACAAATTTTAACTATACGTCATTATGAACAAACGAATGTTAATCCATATTTACAAGCACTTCATGGTGCCTTTGGTGTTGGTGCGTTTTTTGCACCATTAATTATTGCACCGTTTCTTCAAAAATCAAGTCCGACTGATCAATGGCATTATGCTTATTGGTTAATTGGATTTTTGCATATACCTAATGTAATATGGCTTTTAATGTATGCTATACGTGATGAATTTTGTTTAAGAAAAAATCAAGAAATTATTAGTGAAAATAAAGAATTCATTTCAGAAAATATACAAAATGAAACAATTGATATTAAATCTGATGATCGAACTCAATCATCTGAAAATTATGTTGTTCTTGGTTTAGTTGCTTTATTTATTCTTTTATATATTGGTGGTGAATCAGCATTTGGTGCCTATATACATACGTATGCAATTTTACAATTACATTTTGAAAAAGATATAGCTGCGTATCTTAATTCAGCTTTTTGGGCATCATTTGCATTCAGTCGTCTTTGTGGTATCCCACTATCATTAAAATTTTCTCCATTACAAATGCTTATTTCAAATTTAACTGGTGGTATTGGTTCAATAGCATTATTACTGATTTTTAATAAATCGTCATTGGTATTATGGATTGGTTCAATTCTTTTTGGATTATCTGTTGGACCCCTTTATGCATCAGCAATTGCTTTTACAGAAAAAAAAATATCTTTAACTGGACGAAGAATGTCAGTTTTAGCTATTGGTGGTTCAGCTGGTGATGCAGTTGTTCCATTACTTATTGGTTACATGATTAATCCAAAATTATTAGGACCTATAGGTTTTATTTTTATTTCTCTTATTGTTGCTATTTTAGCTTCATTAATTTTTGGATGCGCTCTTATATATGTTAAATGTCAATCAAAGAAAAGCAAAAATACCAATGGATAAAGCATATTTTATCAAATAATTAGTCTTCATAAAATTCTTTCGTCTTTGAATTTAATCTTTATGATTGATGCTTTTGATATAAGCCATACGAGATGGATGTGTATCACCAATGGGTCGATTAATTGGTGTCCATACAGGTTCACCAACAAAAAAACGTCTAGCATAAATAAAATTTTGTTTATCAGGTACAAATCGATGATACATGCCTTCAGAAGAAAAAAAAAGTCATTGTTAGATATATAACTTGTTTATTTTTTTTTCTATTACCAGCTGGTATCATAAGTAAATCACCAGGAAAAACATGAATTCTCACCCATTTATCATCACAATCACGTACATCAAAAAAGCCAGAACCTTCGAGTACAAGACGAATTTCTTCATCAGAATGAATATGTTCAATACGAAACATTTTTAATTTTTCATCATATTTTTCCATGGATGGTTCGATTGTGATTTCATCTTCATATGTATATCTATATAACAGGTAGTGAAGATTAAATAGCGACAAAATAAATTGTTTTATTTTTGATCGCTCAAATACACTTTCAGAAAGTTATTCAATTGAGAATTTGTTGCTTTATAAAACTGTGGCATTTGTTTTTCAAATATGAATGTTTGCTCGATCGCCTAACTAAGATTTTCTGCACATAACTTCGAATTTGTGCAAAGTTTTTGCTCATCTAGATCAATCCCAAAAGTAACGAGGTTCATATCAATGAATAGAGTTTCGTACTGTCAGACAAGGCTTTTCTCAATGTTTTACTTCATCATCCATTCAAATAAATTAAGAATATATTTTCAAATACAAAAAGAATGTATTTAGTAAATATTCCAATATCCTAGGATGAATGCTGTTTAGAAATGAGTATGAGAGTTTCTGATTTCAATTGAAGAATTAAACATATGTTATCGAAAGAGACAGTAAAAGAACACTCACTAAGTCCATTTTGCGGAGAAATATTATTCCTACAAAGCAAAACTCGTAGGTTATGTATAATTTTTGTAGTTTGAGAAAACAAACGTAAAATTGGTGACCGATACCAGTTTTGATCGCGGTATAATCATAGGCTAATTTGGGCATCAAGTATTATATACTTTTCGAAATCGTTTAAGTTTATAAATAAAATATTTCTCCCCAAAAAATATGATCTTAAACAATGTTTATTAGAAAAAAAGAATTTATTAGATCAATTATAGATAATTTAGTTTATATGAAAGATTGTTATTTAGACAGATGTTGTTTATTTGTAACATTCGTTTGTAGTTCTTTGGAATGTAGCATTGCAAATAAGCATTGTCTTTATGAAAGTAACAATTTTCAATGTTTAATTGAATAAATGAATGTTATTTTCAAGGCGAAGAAGGAGAACTTTTCAACAGATTCACATCGCTTTTGTGTAGATACGAAGGATCTCATTCAAAGAAAAAGTTTAAGAGAATTTGGGCCGATGTGGCTTCGTTCGAATGATATACATATTTTCTCACTTTGATATTAGGACAGAAATCATATCAATGAAGCTCATAAAATTTCTGGCAAAACTGCTCTAATTTAGAAAATATAACATTGATTTTTTAATTCGAAATTTTCAAGATATTTTCATATCAGCAACATCTATTTGATGACAAAATTTCAAATCGGAACTATGTAGTTCAATTTTTTTGAAAAAGTTCAGTGAAAGGATTCTAATTTTCGGCCAAAAGGTTATGGGCAGATCTTCTTTTAGGGCTTTCTTAATCTCATTCATATCTTCTGGTTATGATATAGAATAGTAACTTATGAGAGTGCAGAGTTGTTGTCATATGAATTATACGAGGTTTATTGATATGATTTCTCTCTTTATGACAGAAAGAATATATTCATATCTTTTGAAAAAAGCCGCATTAATCCGACTCCTCTAAGATTTTTTCTTAGAATAAGGTACTCTATATGCACGCAAAATAATGGATAGACCGAGAGTTTTAAGACAAAATGTTTGTTTATTCTTGAATACCTTGAAAGTATTTCCGGGAAGTCAAAAGCTATGGCTTGAAACCATAATTTTGTGTTGCTTTCGAGTATAGGCTTAGAAATTTTCCTGAGACTAATGAGATAATCTTTGAAAGCTGCAAAAAAGTAGCTGGAATGGGAAAATTTTCTGTACACTTTTGTAATTTCACTATTTCAGCTCGAAAGTAAATGTTGAAATCGTTATTAGTATATCAGCTTTTAGATTAGAAGCTGCCCTATACGATGTACTATTGAAGTTTTTCTGCAGGTTACTTCCATATACTTATTTTTGAAAACTCGACTTTCTAATTAAAAAGTCCTGTTGTATAGAAAAGAGTTCTTGATAAAGTGCCTATAGTTTCATGTAGATAAAAAACAAAGCTTAATTTAATGTAACATTTTGTAAGAAACTGTTCACATTCTAAAACGACCGACTACGATAATTTTTCGTATCTGCGAGACGAAACTTATCGAGTTAGCAAAAGTCCATTGACTCGCCATTCAATCTAAGTTTTTGGGCTTTTAAAAAAATTCATTAGACTCGAACAAAAATTTAGATTAAAAATTCTAATCTCATATTTGTACAGTACATAAAGGCTGGTCCTAACCCATAACTTTTGACTTCTTGGGAAAACTTTCAAGTGAGCCAAAAGTAAATAAATATTTTGTCTAAAAATGTTCCGCCTACTCGTTAATCAATTGAGAGTCTTTCTTCACAAGTTCATAAAATTCTAGTAAGCCGAAAATTTTAGTCTTAAAAACACAAATCTTGATATTTTTCTTTGATTTCAAAACAATTTTTATTTATTTCGATATTAAATATTAATTTTTACCCTCGATCTTGTTTAAGTTTTAGCAATGATGGACAATCATTATTGACAAGAATTTGATCTGCTTGAAACTGCCATACTTGAACACCTGTACGATTACATAGTGTCGCCGTATCAATATCTTTTAATAGATGATTATCTTGTGGATCATCTTGTCGATCGTCCATATACCAACATTTTACCTATAATTAATTAATTAAAATATTCAAAAGATAAAATAAATTTTACCATGATATTTTCTTTTCTTTTTTTTGAAATCTAAAACATAGAAGGCAAATACAATTAACCATATCACCAATTAAGAATCAAACAAATTAAGGATAAAGCAAAAAAAAAGAGAGTATGAATCTATAGAATCTATAATTTAGATTTCATTGTCTTAGTTGTATTCAGTTCAATTAATTTTCGAATATCTGCAAGACTACGATCAAGCTCATTTGATAGTTCTTTGACATTTGTCCGTCCATTATTTATTTTAAAAGCTGTTATCATATAATTTATTGAATCCCGACGTGGATTATAACAACAACCATCTAAAATATTGAATTAACAAAAAAGAAAAATAATTAAAATAATAACTTACATCCATCATCAACAGCTGCACCATAAACCATTACACAATCATGTTTTGCAGCAACCTAAAATGTTGTCTTAAGAATACTTTTTTCAAAACGAATAAATTAATCTTACTTGACTTGTTGAAAGATTAAAATGCATTGCACGTTTATAACTAATATGATTATATAAAGCAGGTTTTGGTAAATTATTTTCCATTGCAATTAATCGTAATCCTAATAAATGTCGATCGATACCTTTAGCATTGATTGCCTAAATTAAATTTAAGAATATAACAATATATATTCAATAATATTTTCTCTATATATATATATATATAATTTTACATCATTTGTATATTGCCGATGTGCTTTCATAGCATTAAGAAACAGATCATATTTCGTATTATTTGCTGTTTCATTATGTTGTTCAGACATTGCACGAGCAAATAATTGGGCTTCTAACGTACATGAACGAATAGTTTCTGTTCGACCAAGATGATAACGACGTAAAGAACCACTTTCGTAGGTAGCACCACATTTTCCATGCATACTAAAAGTTTCAAAAAACAAATTGTACCAATAGCATTTGAACTATATTAGAGGCATATGTAACTTGTCATCTACTGACGAATCATCATTATCCAAGGGGAATATAACAAATAGCAAAAGTTTATATCTTATGCCTGTAAAGAGTCTAAGCTGTTAATTTAGTGCTCCCGAGATACTGCATTTTTACAGTATTCTTTAGTAGAATGGCATAGTTCCAGTCAGAAACAATAGCGAAAAAGAGTTTTGAGTTGTAAACTGAAACTTTACACAGAGATAGACATCGGTAGAATTAGTTTTTTTTTGTGAAAATTACAGATCATTCAATGTTTTCTATTGTTAAATATGTTTATGTAAAAAAAGGATGTTTTTTTTCATGCCGCTCGTATTCATCAGTAAATTCTAATGTTCTTATTTCAGAATGGAAATAATCAAAAGGTCTGAAGATTTCGCAATAAACTATTCTTTAGTAAGGTTGATCTTAATGCAAAGATTCAAATCAGTCTTCTTCTGATATTTTCGATGGTGACAACCGCATTTTCCTAAAAAATATCATAAAAATATATTATCTCAACGGCAATAAACTAACTTATGACGCGACAGTATTAGCACAAAATATTATCTCATTTTTTTTTGTACCATTTGAGGGACTATTGGTTAGAGCAAAAAACAGTTAGTTACAATTAGGTTTTTTTGCTCATTCCAAATATGTTTTCAGAATATCTTTCTGAGATAAGATCGGACAACTATCATCAGAGTGTTTCAAAATAGTAGTTGTATAGAATGCTATTTTGATCAATTTTGTATGCTAATTGAAAATTAACAAATTCAAAATATGAAACAAGTCTTAATAGCTCAGAAAGAAACCTCTCCATTTTTGTATAGCAGAGTTTTCTCTACAAAGCGTGCTATTTACTTTTCCATGACAGATTGCAAAACTTGTGTATTTTGAAAAGCAGTTTTCTATAGAAACTAGTGCTTTATTAGAAACATATAAATGAGATTTCGTCTATTGTTATATGTCATCTTGCACAGTATTGAATACTCTATAATAATACTGAATTGAAGCTGTTTTTAGACTCAAAATATGTCAACTAACGACTGCTTCAAAACTGCTATTGTATTTCTGTCCAGACACAATTTCGAACTTTTTCATAAAATTTACTACTAGTTGTTTGATCTGATCTCAAAATAAAAATTCTGATTTCAGTTATCTACTTCTAGATCTAATCAGTTATCTTTTACTAGTGAAAAAATGAGGGAATATTTGGTACCAAGACCTTTACCATATAGGTTACAGGCTCAAGCGCTGAATAAACTTTTCATATTTCATTATAACTTACATGAGGAACATAATCTCAACTCATAAAGTCATTGAGGACTTCGTGATGAACTCCCTTCGTTCGATTAAGTTTATCTTCTAATCTCTGTTACATTTTTATTTATTTAAATCGAAGCTATACTAATAAAATAATTTTTATGTCTTTATTAAATTATGTTTTTCTTTTCATTTCAAGAGGATATAGAAAGACTATGGAATTTTTTCAATCTATTATAATACGCACCGAAAATAAGCAACTTGTAAAGCCACTTGTATAATAGCATCTAAAATAAAATGATTTCTTATTCGTTCAAACTTTATTATCCTTTTTTGGTTACCTATGCTTAATTTATTTTGTTTAGCAAAGTCTTTACCATATTCAGGATATTTATGAACAATTAAATCACAATTTTCAATAAATCTATAAATAATAAAACAATATTAACAAAAAAAAGTCTTATTTTTTTATTCTTACTTATTAACACGTTTTTCACTTTCAATTATCGATTGCTCGACTTCTTTAGGTATAACTATACGACATTTACTTAATAATGATGGTTGATTAGTATGAACAAGTGGTACTGCTGTTTTACTATAAAGCAAAAACAAACAAATGTCAATCATATGAAATGATTTCATTAAATAAAATTTACCAATAATCCAAAGCATAATCAACAAGCGTTGTAATTATTCCACCTTCAGCCAATGAATGTTCATAATTAAGACCACTATAACCATTAGGTCCTACAATGACCTTAAAATAAAATAAAATTTTTTTTTCTTAAATCTAAGCGAAAAAAAGAATAAAAAAAAGAATTTTATTTTACTTGAAGTGTTTTGTCAAACCAACGATTAGCTGTATTATTTTTTGTTCCACCACCATGTAGAAAATTTAAACCAACAAATTTTTGATTATCTTCTTCTGTTGTTTTATCATTTGATGATTGATAACTTTCATCAAGACATAATACAAGTAAACTATCATTAATTGTATCAAATAAATTTTTATTTTCTGGTACTTAAAATAAAATAAATTATTTTATTTTATTCGAAGAAAAATTTTTACTTGATGATAATTGTTCATAAATTGGTGCCCAAAGTTGTCTTTCATCAGCTGTTAAATGGCCAATTAATGTTTGTTTTTCATCCGATTCTTGTAAATCAGGAAGTTTTTTTAAATGAGTATAGATTACTTCAGCTGATAATTTATTTCCTTGATCATCATATACTGGTAGTCGATAGATCTGTAAAGAAAACAAATTTTAAATGAAAAAATGAATCCTTGAGAGCTGGAAAATGTTCCTTAGAGGGAACATTCGATCGTAACGGCATGAAATATTCAATCAACTCATGAATGATAGAAAAAAATCTTTGAAATATTATATAAGTAAATTCTTGACTCTTTTGAGTCTTAAGAACGACCGCACGCTCCTTCAGTGGTAAAAAGTTCTTGATTACCCAAAAATTTCATCCCGATTGTGGCAGTGTTACTGATTTTACTCCAATTTTGAACAGTTCGTGTTAGTCCTAGTTTTACTTCTGAAGAGTATTCAATAGTCACTCCCGTGTGACACCATTAGCGAAATCATGAGATGATCCAATTGTCTCTCATAATATTGATTTCATAACACTTAGTTGGGCTCACAGAATAGTGTTATGATACAACGAAAAATGAAGATGTGCTAAACAATTGTAAATACTTTTGCTCTGTTGGTTCAAAAACGTGATATATTCATGCCGTTAAGACTACATATCCTTTCTAATAGACATTCTGTATCTCTATAAGAAAAAAAATCATCTTTTTTTTTTGTTATAATATGATCATACTAATTGTTTCCAGAATCACTATTTTTCCTTATCCAAAAAACAAGCCACCCTCGGCTTTTAAAGGTTAAGCAGCAAAAAAAAGGAATTTTACAATATTTACATTATTTCGATAAAATACTGCAACATGACGATGATCATCTTTTTTATATAAATGAAGTCGATCAATAGATTTTGCCGGAATACGACATATGCCAAGAACTTTTCTATATTGATCCATGCAAAGAGGATCTGAACCAAAATGATCAATTGGTATTTGATTGCTAGAAAAAATTGATTATATTTCTCATATCATATCACAAAAAAAAACATTTTTCTTACGACGGGATTTTTACAACTGATCAGTTATTTTTCTTAACGGAAGCTACTGAATTTTTTGGTAATCAACCATACTAATTCCGAATATGATCATGGGAAATCTCTTTAGGTCTTCATATGTTGGTTTTCTAGCCTGACAAAATTTTCGTTTGATCTGTTCAGATAGTAGAACATATCGTCTTGTCTAGAAGACAGTAACATTTTCGGTTTCAAATGTTGTTTTTTAATGTGAAAATGTTCGTAATGAGGGTGTGGGTGTGGGTGTTGGTGGATGTGGGGGTGCATGTAGGTCGTTTTCTTCGTAACGCACCCACACCCTATTGTCTCATTGTCTGTTCTCTATGCATTGCGGGCAAGCGTCCACCGCGAGTAACTGCCCAGCGAGCGAGTGTCCGTCGCGGGCAAAAGTCCTACGAGAAAGTGCGTTGCGGGCATATGTCCGGCGGGCAAGTGTGCGCATATCAAGAGGATTTCTCTTTGTCGTATTTAGAATCAGCATGGTCAATAGCCCATAGTCCAGTAGCTTTTGATGAAAACATGATTGATCAGTTGAAAACTCTTTCTCGTTAGAATAAATAACAAGTCATTCGTTAAGAATAGAGATACTTTTATTATATTTTGTGAAGACACAAAATACAGATCAAAGACTTTATTTGAATCTCATGCGATTGAGAATTTTTTCGCTCTACGAAACTGTAGATTTGATTTCTTAAATAAGATTCTTCTTATGAGAGAAAAGTTAATCAGACTATCAGATACTCAACGACAATCTCCCGTTATTTTCTGCGGACATCTAATGATTTGCGTACGCCTATATTCATCAAATCGACAGTAAATATAAAGTATTTAACTTTCGTGAATAAAGAATTCCATGCTCTATGCTAAGGTGCAAAAACCTTGGAACTAACGTCTGATGGTATTTCTTTTTGATTCATTTTCAAAATTAATATGTTCAAAAGTTAGATGTGCCCTATGAAAGACTCATTATTATACTATTGGATGTAGAATTTAATCCTAAACAGAATGATATAACATTTAAATTGAACAATGAAAATCTTTAGAATGTTTTCTTTTTAAATTGTGCTCTCGAATATTTTCTCTAACAGTCAGAAACATCGAGCGATGTAGAATTTGTTAAATTTCGGGAGAACTATTTTTCTTAGAATAACCTTATAATTCATTTTGTGCTATTTGATCGATGTACTTGCGTAGTTGAAAAGCTATCGGTCTTCTATCTTTTCGTCAACAACAAAAAGTCTATTTGAAAAATTCAAGTCAACGAATTCGTAGAGCAGAAAAATGCCTATCGAATGATCTCTCTTTGAAATGTGTTTCGAATCTTTATAAAAAGAAAATAAAACTGATTTTATGAAAAACTAAAATTTCCATATTACTCATCAATTAATGATCGATAACGTAGAATACTATGAATAAAATTGGCTGCATATTGAATTTGTCCATCAAAATTTCTATATGATTGTCGAGGCAATACTACAGCTGGATTATAAAAAATAGGTAAATTCAAACGCCATTCAAGATA